ATATAGCGCGGGCCTGTGGTAAATTTAGCGCGGGACAACGCTAAAATTAGCGCGGGGCTTGGGATAAAAATAGCGCGGGCCTGCACTATATTTAGCATGAGCCTGCGCTAAAAATAACCCAGGCCTGCACTAAAAATAGCGTGGCCTACGCTAAAAATACCACAGACCAGTACTAAAATTAGTGTCGGGCTTAAACTGGCCCGACTTTGGGATACTAAGGATCGGCCTTGTTTTGAAAACGAAAACACCCCTCTTAATCATAATAGGGGCCCAATCCCGTATCCCCCTTGACCATTTCGGGCTGTACCCTTCCCGATGCGGTAAGTCGGGTCCCAAGTGGTCAATTCTCACTAACCCTTGGTCCGTTTTCAGTGCCATTCGGACCAGGTCTTACTAATTTAGCCCTTGTTAACGCAGCGGCTCAGCCCAAAAGCCGTGATTCGATCTCCATGGGGCTGGACCGTCATGCCGTCTTGCCCGTTGACTCGACCCAAGGGACCAACCAGAGCATTAACACTTTGCTGATCGTGACCACAAGCAACCCTACATCACGGAGGCGGAGTGCGACGAGTCGACTATACGTTGACACAGCGCGCCGCTCTCCGACAACGTGGGGTCTGCAAGGGCGATGGCCTCGACGACCACGCTTCTTGCACTGAGGACTATCACATGGCTTTCATGCTCTGTCCATGTTTGCAGCAAATTATTGTCAGACATTGGGGACGAGTTGTGATGCTTTTATGGAGACGATCATATGCGCTCGTGTGTTTGTGGTGTTTTTCGAAACCCACGACGTCGCCCTCTCTTTTTTCAGGAAGTGCAACCCAAACATGGAGCTTGTTCTTTCCTGCGAGACATGGCTTGCACATGTTTGCTCCATGCTGGAGAGGCTTGTGACTCTGCAGAACACTTTGCAGCACATGATGCGAGGGGAGGACTCGCGGGCTTTTGCTTTTATCCCATGGTCCGCCGACGTGTGGTACATGGCGTTATGTTGGTGTTGCACAATACTTTGTTGATGGTATATCCTTCTGACAATGACATGTTGCTCTTGCAAGTGAAACTTCACATATGCCTATGTTTGGCAAACAAGGGGTATACGTGAACATGGGGTGATTTGTGGGGTACTCGGCGGTAAGGGGGGGGGTTGTGTTGTGTGTCACGAAAGGGGTTGTGTCGTGACTAGTTAGTTCAGGGGGATAGGGGAAAGGGGAGGCATTGCGTGTTCTCATCGGTCTGTGTGGAGGGGAGGTGTGGGGTGAGACGCTGGGGGGAGCATGCTGGTTGGAGTTTTTCAAAGGGCTAGGGGTCGGTTGTGCTGCTTCAGGGGGTCGTTTTGGGATTCTGGGGGCAGGGGCTTCATTAATGTCCGACGGGTGGGGTCATTGGGACTCTTAGGGGGGGGGGTCAAAAAATTTTATTTTATTTTCCAATTTTGGTGTTTGGGCGTGTAGGGCCACGTGCTCGAGGCCCAATGCGGCCAACTCGTTTTTCAGAACTTAACAGGACACCCCCGTTTTTCCGTTAAACGGGATTCAACAGAGGTCCCGGGGCCAATTCAATGGGAAAAACGATGTCTAATTTCGTTCGTTCCCCGTTGTTCGGACACACAGCCTGCGAGAGGTCCACCTGAGGAACAACGAATGTGCAGGCACCAGCCTATGTAAATTGACTGAGCGCACGACCCATGGTGGACTGTGTGTCTGAAAATCGATTCAACGTGGGTTCCGTGTTGAAAGATTCAACGCGCGTTGAATCCGTGTTGAATCCCTATTGAAAAGCCCGTTAGATCGGTTACAACGGGACCCGCAATGATTTTTTTCGCGGGTTAAAAATAATCAAAAAACAAAATAAAAACTATAGGGTTGTAGATTTTTTTTAGCTCTACAACCTCATATTTTGATTTTAATTTTGTAAGGTTTTACTATATTGCAAGGAAAATAAGTAACAGCGAGATGACAATTCCAGTTCACACCATCACATTGAAAGCCAAATAGTCACACTGTGTCCAGAGAGCAGCATTGCACCAATAATACACCAATGGAAGTTCGTAGCACTGAAAACCAATGTTCGTGGAGAGCAAACTCTCTCCCTCCCACACAAGAATCCAGTTCCTTCACACTCACACTTGGCGCTCAGCGCCCAGCCTGCTCCTACACAGCTACTACAGACTTCAAAAAGACAATGCAACTGTTGACATCAGCGGCAGCCCGTACTTGAAGATGTGGCCCATGCAGACTATCGCCAATACACGGTATGTGCCCTCACATCATCATCATCATCATCCTTCACTCATCCCCTGACTACACCACACCCGTCCTCTCTTTGACCCTAGGAACACCCCTGTGCTTCACTGTAGTCCAAGCCCACCAGCTATGGTGGCTGGGCTATAGCGCTGCCCTCAGCAGCGCCCTCCTCCTCTGCACGACCGCACGTGCTCCACCTCGCCTCTCAGCGCTAGCAGCAACCTACGAGCATGAGATCCAGCAGCGCTGCCGCCCAGCATGCGAGTGCCTGAATGCCCCGGCCTGGCCAGAGCTCTTTCCATAAAGCTGCTCTCGCAGCCTGGATGGGCTGGCCTGGGCCCAGAAGCTTCCGGAAGACCCCGGGAGGCTGCCTGGATGCAGCAGCTACTGAGCTGTTGGGCCTCTTTCGGTTGGGCGCCCAACTGTCTCTATATGAGGCTGCGATTCACGCCCAAGGCCTGCATTCTTTAGGAAAGCCCGGAGGGCCATGGAAATGTCGGGGTTGCTCGGCCTGTGCTTTTCTCAACCAACAGGCGCGTCGCAACAGACTGGACCCCAAATATGAAATTGACAGTAGAGGGCCTCTTGCAAAAAGCCAGGCCCGCCTTCACTTAGGGCGGGTAAGGCTGCAGACAGGGCCCCAGAGGCCTACCGAGGACCCAAATCCTCCCATTCCCTCCTCCTTAACTTCGTGAGTCCTCTGAGAAGTCTATTACTCAGCATGCATCTTCCCTTTCCGTTCTCTTTCATAGCCTGCAATCACTTGAGGTGTTGTTCTCATGAGTTCTTCTCGTGTGAACCACCGATCTTCTTTAGGATCCAGATGATGTCTGAAGCTCACACGATACTGCATTCTTGGTTTTGGAGGTCGCCCTCTTCCTGATGGTCGAGGAACAGGCATCATTCGATGCTCGACGATCTGGTCAATGTCCACTTCGCCATCCATGGTTGGGGGCAGCATCGATCTGCGAGAGGGAAACTGGTCGGTGGCAGAAAAAGGTGCCAGCTTGGAGGCATGGAAAACAGGGTGGGTCCGTACGTGTGCAGGGATTCGAATCACGTAGGAAGGCCCATCTGGTTGATCCTCTACAATATCTAAGATCTCCCAAGGCCCGAAGTACTGAGTCATCAGTTTCCTTGAAATCCCTATCTCTTGTCCCAGTTCAGATGATTTCACCCAGACTCTCTCGCCTACCTAAAAGTTAGAAGGCCGTCTATGTTTGTTCTCAGATGCAATCATAGCATCTTGAGACTTCTGAATGTGTTCAACGACCTGCTACAACATCTGCTTATACTTGACAGCAAACTCTTTGCTGCCAGGTGCTGCAGTAGGTTGTCTTTCTGGTAACAGAAAATCAAGCGCAGATCTGGGCTTCCAACCAAGATGTAATTGGTTGGGAGTCATAACGGTCGTGCTGTGCACAACATTGTTGTACAGGCTGGCGACGAGAGGTAACTTCTCGTCCGAGTCATCCTGGCTTGGCTTAATATAATGCCTAAGCAGGTGCTGCACTACCCGGTTCATCTGTTCTGCTTGGCCATTTGACTCAGGGTGATTCCCTGACGTCATCTGCAGCTTTGTGCCCATTTGCTCAGCAGTTGACTGCCACAATTCACTTGTGAACTTGACATCCCTATCACTAACGATAGACGTAGGCAAACCGAAATCACGAACCCAATTGTCCATAAACAGTTTGATGACGTGGTCAGTTTTAGCTGTTTCTGGCATAGCGATTAGTCTTGCATACTTAGTAAAACGGTCCACTATTACGAAGATGTGTCTCTTTCCAGACTTACTGGTCACAAGGGTATCCATGAAGTCCGTGGACACACTTTGACCAGGACCTTCATGAATCGGCAAGGGCTTGATGAGCCCAAGCGGAGCCTGAGTCCTCGGTTTGTCCCTATGGTAAACCTGGCAGGTTTCAACATATCGTTTTGCATCTTCCATCATAGAGGGCCATCAAAATCTCTGAACTAAGTTTGCTGTTGTCTTCTTACAGCCAAAATGGCCAGTTGCATCGTGACACTCTCCTAAAAATAAAGTACGCAAAGACTCGCTATTAGCAACACATAGTCTTGTATTCCCTGCCTTATCGAGGAACAGCAAGTCGTCTACCATCGTAAATTCATCCAAAGTTTTTTTATCCTTTGCTTTGAATCTACGAATGATCTCTGACATGACTGGGTCTCCCTGATAGGCTTCCACCAACGATCGAGTGAGGTCATTAGATATCCCAAACTCAGTTACTAGTGCGCCTAGATAATCTGCCCTTCTTGATAGCGCATCAACCACTTTGTTGTACGTACCTTTAATAGGATCAAGTTGATAGTCATACATGTCTATCACTTGAATCCATCTCTTGAGTGCGTCCAACAAGACTGGTTGTGTCTTAATCCAGCGCAAATTTCATGGTCCGACCTCACATAGAAGAATCTTCCTAGGAGGTAGTGTCTCCAATGAACTAGCGCTCTGTACAGGGCGTAGAGCTCTCTCTCATAAGTGGACTTGGCCAACTTCTGAGATGGCATCTTCTTGCTCATGTACTCGATCGGCCTCAACTTCGGCCCTTCCTGTTGCGCAAGGACCGCGCCTATGCCATATTGGCTAGTGTCTGTGGTCACAATAAATGGCTTGTCGGGATCAGGAAGTTTGAGAACTTCATAGTGCGTCAGATCATACTTCAATTTCTTGAAGCTTGCCTCACACTCTTCAGTCCACTCCCAAGGGGTGTCAAGTCGAGTTAGATATGTTAATGGGGAAGCTATAGTACTATACTTCTTCACAAACGGACGATAATAGCCCGTCATCCCCAAAAACGATCTGACCTCAGTAACCGTCTGAGGTCTGGGTCAGTCACGTATGCTGGCCACCTTCGCATCTTCCGGCCTCAATCCATCTGCTGAAATTTCATGACCCAAGTAGAGGATCTTGGTGCGACCAAACTCGCATTTATCCAAGTTGATTTTGTACTGGTGCTGTCTTAGAAGACCTAGCACTGTTTTCAACTGCTCAGCGTGCTCCTCTACAGTCCTACTAAAGATGAGAATATCGCCGAGGTACACGACGATAAACTTGTCCAGGTAGTCATGAAAAATCCTATTCATTGCTTGTTGGAACGTACCAGGCGCATTGCATAGGCCAAAAGGCATCACCACAAACTCGTACAGACCGTAACTAGTCTGAAATGCGGTTTTGTGCTGATCCTCAGGTCTAACAGCAACCTGATGGTCTCCGGACTTCAAATCTATCTTGGTGAAGTACCGGCATCCCTGCACTCTATCCAAGAGGTCGTCAATGCGGGGTAGGGGATCCGCGTTCTTAACGGTGATGGCATTGAGGCCCCTATAGTCAAAGCACATCCTTAATGGACCTCCCTTCTTAGGAACAAATAAGACTGGCGCACCGTAAGGGGAGGTATTAGGCCGTATCCATCCCTTCTCTGTGAGCTCCTTAATCTGGCAGCGAAGTTCATCTAACTCTAGGGGAGACATCCTATAGATTCGTCCTCTAGGCACCTTACTACCTGGGACAATCTCTATCGCATGTACAACCTCCCTTTCCACCACACCTGTGGGCTCCTCAAAAAGGTCTGAATATTGTGCAACGACTCTTTCTATCTCTTGGGGTGTTTTAACGGCCTCCCCTTTCTCAGAGACAAAGACTAGATATGTGCCCTTCTCTTGATTCTGCTTATAGTTGTTATAGAAGGATGAAGCGCACATACACCGTAGTTTTCTATTAGACTGCTAGCTTTGAACTTTTGCAATGTAACTCTTCTACCATTGGGCAATTTGTGGATCAACACCTTTCTATCCCAGTCAAAGTGAGGTTGCGAGACTTCGAGGTAGTACATGCCTAGTAGCATTCCCTGACAACTCGATCCCTCCACACCTCGTAGTCTAAACCAATTTTCAACCATGCGGGTGTTCCTAGGTCGCCCTGACTCGTGGACCGTCCTACCTTCTTCTTCCCCGTCCCCCTAGCCTTTTCCTTCATGGGTGCCACGACTCCACCATCTGAAGTCTCACTACCCCCACCGTGCTCTGTTAACTCCCCAAGATCTGAGTAGTCGTCAATCTCCGTCGTTTGGCCATCGTGGTCAACGAACATTAACCGACCCTTTTTCTTCCAATCTTGGGGCAGTCTCTTCCTACCATCGTTGGGGGCCTGATGCGCAGATCCTAGCTTTGCCTCGATGTCCAAAGCTTTCTTGCTAAAAGAGGCGATGGTGTGCTGTTCAACATAGACTTCGTCAACCAGCTTGGTCCTTACCTCTGACGGTAGGCACCTTAGGTAATCCGTTAGGAGAACCTGCTGGTCAAAACGCACACCAGGTACCACGATTAATCGTTCTACGACGTCCGTCAACTCTCTAACATTCTTGAACCTTCGGGAACAAAGACTGTTGATAGCATCAGTGCCCTTTTGGGCCCCTTGTGGGTCATGCCACCTATTGTATATGGACCGTATGAACTCTTCCAATGTCTGGGATTGAGCCCAGGCATCGAAGTTTTGATCGTAGCCCTGTTGCTGCACTAAGCCATTTAACCAGCGGGCTGCTGATCCATCTAAAAAGGAGGCAGCCACTACAACTTCTTGCTCTGGCCTTGTGAGCTTATGCCTCACATAAGTAGGCACAGTTCTCACCCAAGTGTCCAAGTCTTCCTCCTTCTTCTTATCGTCAGAGAAGGGCTTGGGACTCATCAAAGCTATATTGGGCATCCATTGCATAGGCTACATGGGCCAGGTGCTTGCTGTAGCGGCTGCATGGCCACTGAAACAGGCTGTTGCATACTAACCTGAGCCTGGCTGGACAGTGGGACTGTAGTGACCACTGTTGTAGATGGTACGGCTGAGACTGAATGAACCGGACCACTAGTTGCTACTAAACCACCCGGGGGGGGCATGCCAAACATGGGAGAGAAAGTTTGCCCTGTGCGTTGCGGCATCGATGATGGACCCGCAGCTGCAGGGGAACTACCGCAAACTGTGGCGGCCTCACCATAGTGCGAGGGCCATGAAGTTCAGCCAGAATTTGTTTCTCGCCTGCTACCAAATCAGCCAACAATTCCTGCTGAACGCTTTGCGCTTCCGCCACTGAAAGAAAGGCGCCTCGCAGCACACGGACAATAGGGTCTAATGTTGACTCATCTAGTCTTTCCAGTCTGCCTAGCTCCTGCGCTCTACTCTCTAGTCTAGCCTTTCTTTGCATAGCTTTCCTTCTCCTCTCTACCACATCGTCCATCTGCCGCTGTAACTCATCCTGAAGTTCTTCTGCCTGCCGGATTTCTAAGTCCTCCGGCGTGAGTGGAGACTAGTTGACTCGAACATGACCAATCTGACTAGTGACTCCACTCTGACTGACTCCTGTCGAAGTGGGCTGTGTAGAGGGTTGCGTCATAGATGAGGTAGCCATGGCTGCACTGATGCTAGCTGAAACTCTAGCCCTAGCACTGTCCTCAGCTGCCCTCGCTCTCCTTGCCGTTGTCCTCTCTCTAGCCTCTCTCCTCAATCTTCTCTCGTCTCCTGGACCTAACTCCAAGAATGTCAAGGGTCGACTGCGGGTAGTCCCGCGAGTAGTCCTACGGTCGTCCACTAGTAACTCCTCCTAACTTGTGCTTGCATCACTAATGAACTACAGTGTGTGTGATCTAAACTAGAATCCACACTGAATCCTACCTTAGCTTGACACACATCCGCATATGATACACAACTACTTACGGTCGGCTTGGAACAGACATAGTTAGGTGATGTAGTTGCAACTAATGTAAGGTCCTACAGGATATATTAATTCTATTTTTGGATTACCCTAGAACAGATTGCACTACAACAAAGATCTAATCTATCTGTAGTTGTCTGTCAGTTGTTAGCGAAGTCTGTCACAACTAGATAATCGAAATAAAAATAACATCTCCTGTTGGAGATGTATGCTTGATGGCAGATTGTCTGTTGATTGCCACTGCGAATAGTTATCGGAATCCCCCCCCCCCCTGTATCCTTCTTGAGTAGTCACTTTGTGTCAACGTCCCTTAGCATCTGGTTTGAGCAGCGTGTCTGAAGGTGTGCAATCCCGCCCACCCCTGTGCCCCAAGTCTCTGCCGAACATGCCAGTCAGTCCACTCTTATTTACCCTCGTACTGAACGAGCCTTACACCTGGTTGATTTGGCTGATCAAAAGGATTATTAAGAGCGCCCCCATCTCTGCAGGAATTATTGAACGTCGCAGTCAAGACGACAATCACAGCCAGATTCAATCCGAGTCCCCAACCAGAAATGTTTATAGACGGTCTGGTAAGCGTCTCATAAAAGGCTGGCATGCCCAGGTAGACCTCTATTGCGCAAGCACCAGAACCAAGGACTTGCGCCCAAGCATGCGTGTGCTAGTCCCAGCGGGTTTGCATGGTGACCGTGACCCGAATGCTTCGTCCAGGGCCCTTCAGAGGCTTCGCCCGTCTCCCACCAGCTTGCTGCCCAGGAAGAATGTCGACTCTCAAGGTTGAGCGCTCGCGACACCTCACATCGAGAGGACTCTCAAGACAGAACTCACTTCCTCACAGTAAGAGGAGATGAAGAGGGTAGATAAGGAAGAGAGCAACGTACCTCATAAATGCTGCCCCCAACCACAGATTTCTCACCGGTAACCTGATGTGCAATTATGATGACCGGTCTTTGCTTCGGCACAACCAACAGCAGAATGCGGTTCCACCTCAGCTTAATATGTAACATCAGCGAGTTCTCATCATCCAGCATACATCCCGTATGTCACCACATAGCTCCCCGGCGCGCCCACACAACCCTGGGCCGCCTAATGTTCAACGCCAATGCCGTATCACTGCCCCACACCTCATGCGAAGCACCAATTGCTATTGCGAAGAACCAATGAAGCGCAATATGAACCAGCTCCGATACCAAATTGCAAGGAAAATAAGTAACAGCGAGATGACAATTCCAGTTCACACCATCACATTGAAAGCCAAATAGTCACACTGTGCCCAGATAGCAGCATTGCACCAATAATACACCAATCGAAGTTCGTAGCACTGAAAACCAATGTTCGTGGAGAGCAAACTCTCTCCCTCCCACACAAGAATCCAGTTCCTTCACACTCACACTTGGCGCTCA